TGAGACACAGTCTCACTCTGTGGCTCAGGCTGCAGTGCAGCGGCATGATCTCAGCTCACTGCAACCTCCCCCTCCCGGTTCAAGCAATTTTCCTGTCTCAGCCTCCTAAGTATCTAGGATTATAGGCATGAGTCACCACGCCCGGCTAATTTTTGTATTTTTAGTAGAGACGGGGTTTCCCCATGTTGGCCAGGCTGGTCTTGAACTCCTGACCTCAGGTGATTTGCCCACCTTGGCCCCCTGAAGAACTGGGATTACAGGCATGAGCCACTGCACCCAGCCCGATCTTGCCTTCTGCTTCAACCTCAGCATCTAGCATGGTGCCCATCCAGAGCTGGGGCTCAGTCAGTGTTTGTGAGATCAATGAATGAATAGAATGAAGGCATTGTAGGAAGCTAAAACCATAAAATTACATCAAGCCCAGGGCTGGACACAGTGGCTCATGCCTGTAATCCCAACACTGGGAGGCCGGGGTGTGAGGATTGCTTGAGCCCAGGTGTTCTAGACCATCCTAGGCAACACAGCAAGACCGTGTCTCTACAAAATAAAAATAGAAAAATTAGCTGGGCATGGTGGTGTGAGCCTGTGATTGCAGCTACTTGGGAGGCTGAGGCAGGAGGATCGCTTGAGCCCAGGAGTTTGAGGTTGTAGTGAGCTATGACGGCACAGTACACTTCAGCCTGGGCAACAGAGTGAGACCCTGTCTCTAAGAAGAATTGCATCAAGCCCAGTGTTGGTAGAGCCTAAGGGATTCCCACTCCCTGACACGTATGGGTCCAGCATTTTCCCAGCACTGAGATGGCATTGCGGCCACCTCCCCCAAGAGCCACCCCACGTGAGTCTGCGAATGGCCCACTTACCAGCTGCGGCCTCTACTGAGAAGCCCAGATCTGTCTCCCTGGAGAACCTGATTATCAGAGAGAGGCCGCCTTGGCACTCTAGCCCCGTTATCTCCCCACCAGGGCACCTTCGTTTTCCCTCCACACCCTTCCTTCCTCCGGGGCCCGCATGTCCGTTTGCTGGCCGAGGCCTGCGGACACTGAGGGGTGTGGGGGTGATTCTGTTGCGACATCTGAAAGGAAAACGTTAGTCTGTGGGAGACCACATCACCCAAGCAGGTCAGGGGAAGCGAGGTTGGGCCGTTTGTGGTAAGGTCTTAGGGGTCTGTGCTGGAGCTAGGCCAACATACCCCCATCTTCCTGGAAACTCTAAATCCCGATGGTCAGACTTTCCCCGCGGAGGAATCAAGGAAGCCGAAGCGAAGATGATGGAAGGCCCAGTGCCCTGCGTGTGGTGGCTCATGCTCGTAATGCCAGGCACTATTGAGGAAGTTCCGGCCAGGTGGGATCGCTTTGAGACCAGGAGTTTGAGCCTGCAGGTCGACCAATTGACTACCACTGCGCACCTCGCCTAGGGCCACAAACGCAGAATCCTGTCTCAAAAAAAATATATATTTATACTAGTATTAGAACAATATAAATAAATACAATAATTCCAGGCCTATACATCCCGCCACATTTGGGAGGCCAAGGTGGGCGACCATCATGAGGTCCCAGGAGTCTCAAAGCACCAACCCGCCAACCTGGCGAACCCTGCCTCTACTTGCTAAAAATATAAAAAAAAAAATTAGCCAGCGATGTCTTGGCCCAATCTTATAATCTCAGTTACCGGAGACGAGCGCAGGAAATCGCTTGACACCTCCCGGGAGGTGGAGGTTGCCAGTGCGAGCCCGAGAATCGTACCCACTGCGCAACTCCTAGCCCGAGGGCTGTAGACCCGAACAATACATCCATCTCAAAAACTAAAAAGCGCCAGATGCAGCGGCCTGCACCGCCTGTTAATCCCAACACTGCGGGAGCTGAGGCGGCGCAAGCGAGCACATGAAGGGAACCAACCTTGGCACACTGTCACAAAATCCCATACTCTTCAAAAATCCGCGACAAATTAGCCCAGGGCTGTGGCTGGTGGTGACGCCTGTAGTCCAGCTACTCAGGAGGTGAGGATGGAGGACCGCTTGACCCCAAGGAAGTAGAGTTTGTCGGTGAGCTGAGATTCGCCCACTGCACTCCAGCCTGGCCAACAGATGAGGGAACCCTATTCCCCAAAAAAAAAACCAATAAAAAAAGAAGAAGAAAAAGAGATTAACCACAGAGAGGTGAAGTGAGTTGCCCAAGGCAGCTCAGCCCATGAGGTCTGAGGCCCAAGCCAGAGTCTCCCCCAGCCAAACACAAAGGCCTTGCTTGAATTAAGTCACAACAGAGAGTCCTGATTCTCTCACTCCCAACTCATCTCCATGCACTGTGCTGGAGGGTTGCCTCTCCTATCATCTTCACATGATTAAGGAGGGCCATTATGCCCATTGCACACATGCAGAACTGAGGCTCAGAGAGGCTGAGCAACTCACCTGAGGACACACAGCAGGTGAGTGAGAAGCAGGGCTCCATGTGTCTCCTGCTTAGACTTTGTTGACCACAGAGGGCAGACAAGGTGCCGCTGCTGCCGAGGAAGAGCAGGGGGATGGGAGAGGCACCCAGGGTAAGCCTGGGGTTATCTAGCCCCAGCTGGGCCAGGGCAATAGGCCCCTGGGGAGGCCCCAGCAGGATCTGCGCCCTTTCTGCTTGAAAGGAGAGGAGGAAGTAGTTTTTTTTGCTTGTCTGCCTGGCGTGCGAGCACACGGCCAGGGCTGGCCAATCTGTTAAGCATACAGGGCCTGCACCCAGCACCCAAGTGCTGTGTAGGACTTCCCAAAAGGCTTCAGCTTATTTCAAATCAGAAGAAAGAAAACCGAACATCCTAATAATAAATATACAATAAGGAATCCAGCCTGGACCGCATCGGTCTTAATGCCCACGCAATTATAAAATAGGATTTTAAGCTGGCACGACAGCCCACACCTGTAATCCCAGCACTTAGGGAGGCTGAGGCGGGTGGATCACCTGAGGTCAGGAGTTTGAGACCAGACTGGCCAACATAGTGAAATCTTTTCTCTACTAAAAATAAAAAAATTAGCCAGGCGTGTTGGTGGGCACCTGTAATCCCAGCTACTCGGGAGGCTGAGGCAGGAGAATCGCTTGAACCAAGCTGGGCGGATCGCTTGAGCCCCAGGAGTTTGAGACCAGCCTGGGCAACACAGCAAGACCCCATCTCTAAAAAAATATTTTTTTAATGAGCCAGGTGTGGTGGTGCATGCCTGTAGTCCCAGCTACTTGGGAGGCTGAGGCGGGAGGATCACTTGAGTCCAGGAGTTCAAGGCTGCAGTGAGCTGTGACCACACCACTGCACTCCAGCCTGGGTGACAGAGTGAAACCCTGTCTCTAAAATAAGTTAGTCAATTAATAAAAATATTTTTAAATATTTTGTAATGGAGGAAGTCCTGGTGTGGACCTAAGCGTGCCATGAGACCCCAGCCTGTCCAGGCTCAGTTCAGTTTCTAGGCCTTTGTGCCTGCTCTTCCCTCCCCCAGCCTGGGCAACATAGCAAGACCCCATCTCTACAAAAAATACACTCTTTCTGCACCACACACTCCCCAGATCAAGGTGATTCCTACTTACCCTCAAATTCCCCTTCCTCCAGGTCAGTTAGGCCACCTCTGGGGCTCTGTGCAACTGCTCTTCCCGCTTCCTGTTTCCCCTTTGGGTTTTTTTGTTTGTTTCGTTCTTGGTCACCTGGTCCTCCCTAGCGTCGTAGTTTGGTTTGTGTTTGTTGTTTTTTCGTTTTTTTGAGTGTGTTGTTTTGTCTGGGGGTTTGAGACGGATTATACGAGGGTGCACAGCGCTCCCGGAGAGTTTCACTCTTGCTGCGCCAGGACGGGAGGCAGTGGCTTGATCTCGCTACCGCAACCTTGCGGCTCCCAGGGTTTAAGCGGAATTCTGCGCATGCGCGCGTCAGCCTCGCCGGAGTAGCGTGGGAGTTACGAGGCATGTGCCACCGTTTGATGCGCCCGGGCTTATTTTGTATTTTCAATAGAGACGGGTTTCTGCATGTTGTCAGTACTGGTCTAGTAGAACTCCCTGACCTCAGAAGTAGCTCTACAGAGGTTGTGTGGTCCTCTCGTGCCTTAAAGTGCATGGGATTACCGGGCATTGAGGGATCTACCCGCACTCCTGCGCTGGTGTTTGGTTTGTTTGGTTTGTGTGTCCCTTTGTTTGTTTGGACTCAGAAGTGGCCCTCTTGTGTCACCCGAGGCACATAATAAAGCAAAGTGCGCCTGGGAAGTGGGCCTATGATCTCGCGGCTCACTTGCAGGCCTCTGCCTTCCCTGGTCCAAGCGATTGTCTCTTGTATCAGCTCCTTGTAGCTGTGAGCGCGTGGGAATGACAGGCACCCGCCACCACGCCTAATTTTTGTATTTTTAGTAGAGACTGGGTTTCACCATGTTGGCCAGGCTGTTCTCAAACTCCTGGCCTCAAATGATCCACCCGCCTCAGTCTCCCAAAGTGCTGGGATTATAGGCATGAGCCACCACCCCTGGCCTCTGTTCCCCGTTTGTTGCTTTTGTTTTTGTTTTGAGAAGGAGTCTCACTCTGTTGCCCAGGCTGGAGCGCAATGGCACAATCTCAGCTCACTGCAACCTCTGCCTCCCGGGTTCAAGCGATTCTTTTGCCTCAGCCTCCTGAGTAACTGGGATTACACGCACGCACCACCACACCTGGCTGATTTTTGTATTTTAATAGAGACAGGGTTTTGCCATGTTGGCCAGGCTGGTCTCAAACTCCTGACCTCAAGTGATCCGCCTGCCTCAGCCTGTCAAAGTGCTGGGATTGCAGGCGTGAGCCACTGCACCCGTCCTCTGTTCCCCCTTTGTAATGATGTCTCACTCCTCTTTACTGCTTGATAGATTATAGATGCCAGGAGTAGGGGGGGGGCCTGCACGTGTCTCCGTGTCACCCCTGGGTCCTCCAAAGAGTCGGCACACAGTAGGTGCTCAATAACAACTTGTTGGGGGCAAGGCGGGAGCAAGCTGTGTCTGCACATGTGGCACCAGATGCTTTGCTGGACTGCAGACAGGGTGACTTGGCCTGTCCTTGTTCCGCCCCCAGGGCTCACCTGCTTGAAGAAACAGGAACTGCCTCGGGGCAGCCAGCTCCGCCCCATTGACGTGCAGACCTTGAATCGAAACCCAGGCTCCTGCAGGCACTGGTACAGCTACAGCGAGGGCCGCGGCCGTCCACGGATTTCCCAGGTATGTGATCCAAGAGCCTCAGCCCTCCTCTCAGCCCTTGAGGAGACAGAGCATGGGAGCTGGGCTAGGCCAGAAGGAGAGACAGGGCTGGTGGGGCCTGGGGTGGCATGGGTGAGAGCTTCATGGAGGAGGGGGTATTTGTGTGGTGACCACTGGAAAATGGAGCTGGAGTTGGGGAAAGGGGGGTCTTAGCAGGACAACCGCATGAGCACAGCTGTGGAGAGGCAAGAGAGAGAGCAAGGATGTCTTTAGGTCTGGAATGTGGGTAGCGAGGAAGTAGAGGAGGCCCCCAGACGAGGGTCAGGAGTTTGAATATGAGCATGAGGTCTTTCATCACTAGATATCTGTTCATCAGCAAAGACCCTTGCACCCTCCTCTGTGCCGGGCCAGCACAGAGCAAAAAGCAACAACACAAGAACCTAGCCCTAAGTCCTGATCCCTAGGAGACCCTCAGGCTGGTGGAGACAGAGCAAGATAAAGACATTCTAGCTCCATGGAGTCATGGCTGGACCAGAGAGAGGAACAGCAGGGGAACGTTGGGGACAGAGAGGGGTGCCAGGGCTTTATCTGGAGGGAGATGCAGGAAAGCTGCCTGGAGGAGGGGACATTTTTACTGGGTTTTGAAGGACGAATAGGAGTTCTTCCAAGTAAAAAAAAAAAAAAAAAAGAAGAATAAGCCTATAAACATTACCCCATGCTAGGTCACAAGTGGATTCATGAATATTATATATCTCTCTCTCTATATATACAGTGCCAGCTAAACTTTCCTAGGTAAATATCATTATCCCCAAATTAAAGACAGAAATACAGTCACAGAGAGCGGTTAAGTGAATTATCTGAGGTCACACAGCGGCTAAGTGGGGGAGCTAGGGTTTGAACCCAGGCCATCTGAGTCAGGCCGAATTCCAGGCTTTTTTTTTTTTTTTTTTTTGGCGATCACGAGCTCAGGAGATCAAGACCATCCTAGGTAACACGGTGAAACCCTGTCTCTACTAAAAATAAAAAAATTAGAGGGCGTGATGGCGGGGCCTGTAGTCCCAGCTACTAGGGAGGCTGAGCAGGAGAATGGGTGAACCCAGGAGGCAGAGCTTGCAGTGAGCCGAGATGGAGCCACTGCACTCCAGCCTGGGCGACAGAGCAAGACCTCGTCCTCA